GTTTGCCAAAGACCATCTGGATGATCCAGAGGAGGCATGGGAGAAAGTCATGTGGTCAGATGAGACCAAAATAGAACTTTTTGGTATAAACTCGACTCGCCGTGTTTGGAGGAAGAAGAAGGATGAGTACAATCCCAAGAACACCATCCCAACCGTGAAGCATGGGGGTGGAAACATCACGCTCTGGGGGTGCTTTTCTGCAAAGGGGACAGGACGACTGCACCGTATTGAGGAGAGGATGGATGGGGCCATGTATCGTGAGATTTTGGGCAACAACCTCCTTCCCTCAATAAGAGCATTGAAGATGGGTCGTGGCTCGATCTTCCAGCATGACAATGACCCCAAACATACAGCCAGGGCAACTAAGGAGTGGCTCCGTAAGAAGCATTTTAAGGTCCTGGAGTGGCCTAGCCAGTCTCCAGACCTGTACCCAATAGAACATCTTTGGAGGGAGCTGAAACTCCGTGTTGCCCAGCGACAGCCCCAAAACCTGAGAAATCTGGAGAAGACCTGTATGGAGGAGTGGGCCCAAATCCCTGCTGCAGTGTGTGCAAACCTGGTCAAGAACTACAGGAAACGTCTGACCTCTGTAATTGTAAACAAAGGCTTCGGTAGCAAATATTAAGTTCTATTTTTCTATTGTATCAAATACTTATTTCATGCAATAAAATTGAAATAAATTATTTAAAAATCTAACAATGTGATTTTCTGGAATTTTTATTGTAGATTCTGTCTCTCTCAGTTGAGGTGTACCTACGATGAAAATTACAGAACTGTCCATTCTTTGTAAGTGGGAAAACTTGAAAAATCAGCAGTGTATCAAATACTTATTAGCCCCACTGTATGTCAACTTCACAGATACAGAGTGATGTGAACAACGCACACACACACATACTCAGTAATCTCACACATACAAACACACTCTGAGCTGTCTGTCTGAGCCTGTGTGGGGAGTGTCAGTGTTTTGTAGTGGTGGGACCTTGGCCACAGGATTGCTGTTCCTGATTACACTTAACCCCTGACCTCACCGACATGCTGATTAATGGGTTTGTTGAAAACAGCATTTAGGAATTCTTTGTATATAGACACTGTGTAGTTTGTAATGTGTACATGTGCTGTACATCCTTTTGTGTGTTTTACAATCTAATTACAACAGGAAACAAGAAACGCATCAAGTTCATCTAAAGTGCTGCTGGATGAAAAGTAGCCATTATCCAATTAGTTGTCCAATAATGCAATGTTGTGTGTAAACATATGCTTCTGTGAAGCGTGTGTCTGTGTGTGTGTGTATATATGATTAGTTAGATACAAGAGACTCACTAGCATTGTTCTGAGAACTATCATTGCCAATGTATCCTGACACTCCCTGAAAAAAAACAAAACAAGAAAGGGTCATAAAATTAGACATGATGTGCATAACTTAATTAGAAACACTATTCTGTAGTACATGTACCAATAATCAGACGTGTGTCTGTTGGTGTAGACCTGATTATTTCAGCAGCTTGCTCTGGGGTCAGGTCATTGACAGCGACGTTATTGATCTTCATAAGCTGGTCACCAGGGACGAGCTGACCATCTGTAGGACCACCTGCACACACAAAACGTCCTTGCGTTGTCATGCCTGGTGTTCAATTGGCCTGCATTCATACTGACGTTGATGATAAACAGCAGCTGTATTCTAGTTGTCTCTTTTCATGTCACACTGATGCATAATTTTTCACTCTCTAGATTTAATCATCCCACCATGGGAAGACCAGAAATCCTATCACTACATATCATATTGGTTATATATAACATAAAGGCTACATCTCTTTGCCTTATGAACTCTTCCCAGTTTGCAACATCAATATCATCTTTTTTTTTATCATATAATTTCTTTATCATAAGTCATTAAGGTTTTATGTAAACACAATCCAGCACTTATTTTGTTTGTTTTGTCTATTGAAGTGCTGAATACTGGGAAGATTTAATTTTACAAAGCTAATATTTTCCTTACAGCTAATGTATGTATACTGTTAGATAGTAATAAAAAATAAAAAGATAATTGTCTTTTATACAGATACACTGGTAGGCTAGTGCTTAAGGTGCAGTGCTCTCACCACTGCTGCCCAGGTTCGAGTCAGGGTTGGGAAGGAAGGACATCCGGCGTAAAACACGTGCCAAATGTCAACATGTGACGATTCGCTGTGGCGACCCCTAAACGCGAAAAGCTGAAAGTGACTTTCTCTATACAGATATGCTCCCAATCAAACTTTTGGTCTCACTTTCCCATTCAATTCAGTGGTAAAGTGGCTGGTAATGTATACCTACACTGTGCTCGACACCAGAACAGCTCTGCTTTAACCCAAAGCCGCAGCTTTTCTTCGAGTTTCCTTTCATATTTTTGCTCTGTGACCACTAGGTGGTAGTATTGACCGTTTTTGCACCTTGCAGGTTTTCTTTCCAGCTACTGTTCAGTGATAATGTTTAATAAGATACATTCAATGGCCTGGTAACAGTTGATCTGCAACCACGTGTATGCAGATTTTTACTCCAACTGAACACTGCAGCACTCAATGGCACCGACAATGTCTGAGCATTACATTCTCTGAACACTGGATTAACTGTGCTGCAAACATCTGTCATTCTAGCAGCTTAAAAAAAAAATACTTCCACGAGTATAGCATGTCATACACAGAAGCACGGGAGAGAAGGAAAAAGGATGAAAGCAAGCTGCCATTATTTGCATGAAAAGAACATTTTCACCTGAATGTAGAGCTTTAGATGAGTCAATAACATTGGATAATACTGAGACCTCATCTCCAAGGTCTCAGTTTAGAATTCATTAATTTATCTTTTATCAGATGCTGTTTGACTATTTTTGTGGTCAATAAATTTGTCACAGTGCTCCATTTTTAAATGCCTTTAGCTTTTTGCTATGTTTTTGGTTTAATAGTTGTAACTTGTGATAACATGAGCCTAACACCCGGAGGATGAAAAACTGCATTGTATAAGGTCACTTTAAAGCTCCAGCAAGTCACGTTATTAAGACTGACAGCTCCTGGGGGGTACTATCAGAACCTCCACACACTGTTACCTTCATCTTTTTTAAAATAAGATAAGATTAAAATGTCTTCTTTTATGATGGCAATATGGAAATACAAGGTTAATATGGCTGTAAAACCATCTTAAAAGACAAAATGAAAAAAGTCAAATTTAACTGTAGAAGTCAACATTCAATAATTAGTTTCATGATGAAAGTTTCAAACAAAGAAATAAATTTATATGATTGAATTCAAGAATTTTTAATTTATGCATTGCATTAAAAAACTGAAAATAATCAACTGATCATCCTAACAGTCATACTCCACCTCAGCCACTTTGGGCTCCTCCTCTACTGAACGTTGCACTTAAATTAGGGCCCAAAGTGTTCAGTCCAAAAACATGAACTTCTTTTGACGTTTAGGCCTCGTTAGGATCCGTTCGCACCAGTCAGTGTGCGAACGAGGAAAGAGGCGGACCCAGGTAGCCGGCTTCAGTGCATATAGTGATTTATTATGTACAGTGAACAAAGGAATGACAAAAACACAGAGGAAAATGATACGTAGTCCTGTAGATGAGTAATAACCGGGTGTTTGACCAACCGCAGGAGGTGAGGAGATGGAGAGCTGGGCCGAGCTGCGTAGGTGGGGTCACTCCTGGGCTGGTCGACGATGGTTACTAAAGGTAGGGACAGAGAGATGAAGGCAATAGTGGAAAAAGATAGGCGACTGTGCATTGACCTGCCTGGGAGGAGAGAGTGGAGCCACGGTCTGGAGGAACAGTCCTTCGGGGAAACACAAAACAGTAGCTGACAAGGGGATAAATACATACAAAACAACGAAAGAGCACGGAGAAAAAATGGCCTAGAGACAAGAACGAACTGGCAAGTGACTGAGGAGTGAAACCGGGTAATATAGTCAGTGACCTGATCAAGTGCAGCTGGTGATAAGGGAGTGAGGAACAGGTGAACGTGATAAGAGTAATGGGGCAAGAGACAGTAGGAAAGGTGAGGGAGGCCAGAGCGGCCGAGCAAACCTGACAGGCCTAGTAACCAACAGGAGTTTGCGTGTCCCTTTGACCCATCTACTTGTTGTATTATGTGAGCTTGCAGATAAATATGACAGTCTAATCATAACAGGACATTGTTTACAACAAACACATTACCCTTAACAAAGCAGCCTATATCACCTTACGAAGTTAACGAGCCAAACACGAAGCAGTACAAGTGCGGTAAGTTAGGTAACTTGTAAATCCTTACGTGGTCGACTCGGTGTGTTAATGAGAGTTTTTCTCTTTGTACCTTCCCTACCCTCTCTAAGCCTGTGTCTGTAGGAAAATGCAGCGCCCCATTCATTCAAGAATTGCGTTGCATCGGGATATAATCTAAAAATCAAATACGTTCCTTGCCAAACTTATCTGCGTTTGCGGTTTAATCGCATAGGAACGTGATGTTTAAAAGAGGGGATTCGCTGATTTGAAACTGAAAGGAAATGAAAGTCTTGGTAATATTACAGTAAACTCACACAACAATCCACACTTCTATGATTTGTGTATGAGCAGGGTGCTGTACGTGTGTAAGATGAGCGCCATCTACAGACGATATAGAGTAGCACATGCCATGCCGCGCGGCATCTTTCAATGTGAAACCTCCAAGCCACGCCTACCCGTCGGTTTAGACGATTTTCCATGAAGACAGAAAAAGGAAAATGAGACCAACGGTAATGCACCTATGCGTTGGTTTGCCAACAGCCAATCATAGCTAGAACAACAGCAACAACAACAACAACAAAAAGGAGAAGGGCAGCATCCAGATCGTCAGTTTTGAGATGGGTATACTCCACACTGTGCTTGTTTTTTGAAAAAGTCCAGTTCTTGTTATTTCGCTTATGTGGGGAGCGAAAGCGAGAAAAGCAGAAATTAATTTTCAGCAAAAGCCAACCCTCTCAATTTGTAGTAAAACAAGCCGGTGTTTTGCACGCAGTCACAGACGTCACTCCTCCAGATGATTGACAGTGAGCTGCAGCGAATCCGTTGTTTGTCCGTGTTTTGCACGAGCCAATGAGTGTCTGAGATTCATTATTTGCGGAAGTTATGCAGCTGATGGCTGTTAACCGCGCTACAAGACACCGATTGTCTTTCCAGTCGGTATTTTCAGCTTTTTCTCCCATATTTAGTAAGTTAGTCAGGCTGTCTGAGCAGCAGGACTCAGGAGCTGATATGAAGCGGCTCCGCACAGAAGTAAACGAAGCAGAAACACCGACAGGAGAGAAGGAGAAAGAGAGAAGCGCAGTGGATGTGGTGAGTAATGGACGATAAAACATAAGATAAGCCTAATAATATGAACAGGTAAAAGAAAATATATGGCAGACGTTATTGACCTGTATTAATGGTAAGAGAGAGAAACTGCAAAAATGTGGAATTAGGACTTAGTGGGTCTGTATTAACCCTTCAGATGGCCCTGGTCTTCAGATGACATCTGTAAAGACTGTCCCTCTCTGTTTCTTGTTTTTCCTTAGTCCGTTGTCATGCCAGTGTACAATGCATCCTGTTGGCTGGCTGAATGTCTACAGGCCATATTACAGCAAGACTTCACTGGATCCATGGAGCTGTCTGTCTTTGATGATGCAAGTACTGTAAGTATGTGTTTGTCTGTGTATTTATCATAAATTATGGTTTTTATTCATGCAAAATATACTGTCTTAGAATACTGGACCTCAGTTTTTTTCAGCATGTGTTGCTCTCTGTTTGTGTTCCTCAGGATGACTCCAGGAAAGTGGTGGAGGGTTGGAGGAAGAGACTGGAGACAAGGGGGATCTCAGTAGTGATATCAGGCCACAACTCTTCTCAGCCAAGAGGAGGTTGGTAGGATTAAAACAGTTTTTCTTCCAGCAAACTCATCAGGATGTCAGACCCTGGCTGCATCTGAACTCATTTGTCCCTGACGATATATAAACACTGCCTGGTAAGGTATATGGAACCCCCCCACCACCACCACCACAGCATGAGTGTGTATTACTGTAGGTTTGATAAGCCACACTTCACACCCCTCAGCACTGCTGCAGTCAATGTACACATACATAAGTCATAATAATAATAATCACCTTTATTTGGCCAAGTATGTTACACAGAAGGAATTTGTTTCCAGTACAGAACCGAGGCAGCCATCTGCGGTGCCAACTCACCGATGGTTCTAACCATCGGGGGCAACTTGGGGGTTCAGTGTCTTGCCCAAGGACTTTTTGACATGTGGACTGCAGACATGTTGTGCTTGACGTGTACGTACCCTGATGTAGGATCTTAAAAAGTCCCTTAAAACGGCATCTTATTATCATTCTCAGTTCCAGCGGAGCGGACACACAAAAAAGGAGGTACTTTTTCCAGTAGTTTGAAGGACTAGTTTCTCCAGTCTGTAAGCACCTTTTGTGGAGTCCGGCTCAGTGTTCAACAGCATTATCCCAGACATCATCTACTCCAAACTGACCCAGTTCACCGTGCTTCCCCCCACCTGTCAGTGGATCACCGGCTTTCTGATAGTCAAGAAGCAGCAAGTGAGGCTGGGGAAAAACACATCCAGCACCCGGACTATCAGTACAGATAGTCTGGTTTGTTCAGACATCCATGAAAAGATCAGCTCTTGGTCACTTGGAGGGAAAAAATTCAATTTGGGCCACTTGGTTTTGGTTTTTCATGGGATCTGTTGACAATAAGAAAATTCTAGAATAACATCAGATTTATCCTTTGAGAGGTTTGGGTGATGCATAGTTTATTACTTTGAGTTTGAGCCAGCTGAGGAGAAAAAAGCTGATGATAACCTCTGTGTTTACTGCACATATGAGTGAAAAGAATGAATGTGGAGTTTTTGAACCAAAACACACAAGTGAACTTAAAGTCACTTACATTTTAAAATAAGATTATTTGACTGGCACATCTTTCCTACTGTATGTTTGCACATCCTTAATGTTTGAATACGATAAGTGGTAGCACATGGACAAATGGAAATGGCTACCACAGAGGCACATACATATACAATGGTACACATACATAAACATACATTGTTGCTTTGTCTTTCAGTGGGATATGCAAAGAATAAGGCAGTATCTCAGAGCTGTGGAAAATACTTGTGCTTTCAGGATGCGGTAAGTGTGTGTGTGTGTATGTTTTGTTTCAGTGTCCAGATGTCTTTCATAACACATACGAGTGAGGTACAACTAATTAGATCATATTGGTTTGTCCAAATATACACACCATAGACACATTCACACACAGACCTCAGCAGCTCAGTGGCTGTTTAACAGAGCTGTCAGAACATGACTGATGACCTTAGAGCACCATTTGATATGTGTTTGTGTGTTTACTGTGTGTATGTTCATATGAGACACCATGCTTTGAAGTTAATTACTTGTCTGAAGGCTAAACTCTCAAAATTACAAATCCAAGGAGGTAACACCAGAATTTCTGACTTGTGCTGACTTCTGTTTTGGTGTGATATGATATGATATGCCAGTAGACTGTCAGAACTGTCAGAACTGCCAGAATGAAAGACTCGCTGCTTTGTCAGGAAACAGTCAACATCTTCTGTCAGCACTCTTGCATTTTTTTCTGTTCAATACTGTCCTGGTGACTTTTTTTCCTTTAAAACCTTAAACTTCTCTCTTTATTCCACTATTGAATTACAGTTTTCTCTTTGTTTTTGTGATTTATTTGACTATGTAGCTAGCTGCCCCATCTCGCTACCTAGCAATCTAATAGTAGTCTGTCTAGCTAGCTATGTAGCAGCCACTCCCAGGAGTGAAACCACAGTAGTTGTTAATGGTGGCATATATTTATAAATGAAATTAGACTATTTGTGTGTGGAACCTCGTACACTATGTATTTGTTCTCATATGATGCTGAATATTTCCCCTTAGTATTCTGTATGTGTTTGAATTGGTATTTTTTGTACTTCAGGATGATATTATGTTGCCGCAGAGAGTTCGTCTGCAGTATGAGGCGTCTCTCCTCCACCCAAACACTGTAAGTTCTCCCTCTGGTTTTTGCTTACTCACTTCCTTCCCTTGTTTTCTTCTCAGTTCCTCCCTAGCTTTTCTCTCTTTCTCTGGCCATTTGACCAGAGAAACACTGCAACTGTGTGTGTGTGTGTGTGCTTTCATGCACTTGGTATGCAGAGCAGTGTGAGTATCCGGTGTTGATGCTATCTGAGGTCTGTCAGATCAGAGGTGAGGGGTCGTGTGTGCGAGGGAAGTGAGGGAGACGGCATGGAGACAGCAGACTTGCTGCCCTGTTTCTGTTATGGGTCTAATATTTGATGGTTCTGGATAAAAGTGTGAGCCCCTTTTCTGTGTATAATGTCTTCTGCTATGTTTGCCCTTCTTTACTTTGCTTTCACTTTTTCTTTTTGGATTGTCTGAATGTGTCAGAAAGGGTATGACATGATTTCACTACACTCTGGACTAACATTTTGTCATATTGATATACATACATAAATAATGTTTATTTTTGTTATTTCTTATTCTGCCAAATATTTACTTGAGTACTTGGCCCACAAAATGTCAGGAAACCTCTTATCCCAAGTTCTCAGAGCCAGAAGTGATATCTTCTAAGTGTTCTGCTTAGTCAGACAAACCATTCACAACCTAATGATTTTCAGATTTTAATAACACAAGACAAAGACAAACGGTAAATCATATTTGAGAAGCTGGAACCAGTGAACATCTGGGCATTGGCTTGCTTGACAGTATTAATTAATTATTTAATCAACTATCAATTTCAGCTCTATTCAAAACTTTGAAAGTTTTTAACCATTGATCTGTCTCTGTGTCTGTCAGATTGTTAAAAGTATTCTGAGGGCTTACTACTGAAACCACTTTTACAGTTAATAGCCTGCGAAAACAAAATTGACATAAGCTAATTCCATGGCTGTGCATGTTTTCATTGGTTCCCTAAGGTAAAGTATTTGTCGTGCTTATAAAGCTATGTTTTTGTTTTCATAATAGCTAGTTGGCTCTAGAGTTCAGAGGCTTCCAGAAGGATCTACAGAGCGTTACACTCGTTGGATCAACACAATCAGTCAGGATCAGCTCATCACGCAGGTAAATGGCCACAGCTTGGCGCAGTTTGTGTGCTTGGATCTCTATGAATGTGTGTATTTGTCTGGGTGTATGTGTGAGGTCATGTGCCAGGCAGCAGCCAGGTCACTTAAAAACAGGATATGTACCCGCTGTCCGCAGTTTCCACGGAAATGTGGCATTGGACTGGACAGAGCACGCCGCGTCACTGCTGACCTCTCTGTGCATCACAGTCCCACCAGAGGAAGCAGGTCACACTGCTAGCTGTCTGCTGAGTGTAGTCAATAGTAGTAGTAACTGTTGGAAATGGAAAAATAAGTATTGCAGACAAAAAAAAGAGGTTTGAGTGAGTGGAAATTTTTACATACCACTTTTACAGCTAATACTTCTCTCTCAACCGCATTCAATAGTCACATTAATCACTAGACTGATAAGAGGGTTAGTGATATAAAAGTGAAACCCCTGGCAGTTTATGGATGTCTGTTGTCTGAACAAAACACATTGTCACCAAGGATACAAGGCAACCTTTACTCACACTAACACACACACACACACAGAGTCTGCATAACTGCATATTTATGATATTAAGTTTCATGGAGCATGAGAATGAGATCATATATTGATTCTGCAAGCTTAAAGGCAGCTCATTTTCTTTCCCCTACTCCTGGGTAGAGAAACAGAATATCTAACTCAGTTAAACCAGAGATTTACTCAGGGTGGTGCTCATTTAACTTAATCCATTAGCTGGATCCCATTTGTTCATCTGTAGGACGTTAGATATGGTTATCCAGGACCTTCCTTGCCCTTTCCAGTGCTCACATCCACAGAAACCCCCTCACTCTCTATCCTCTGGTTCCCATAACTCGTTTTTATTCCACTTATTTGTGCTTTTGGCCACAGCTTAGATCTACAAAATGTTGCAATAGTACAGCAGAAGGGAGAGGAGATGTACATAAGTGGACACATACACACATCCCTACAGTCACTAGATTCTGTCCAGCTGTTTGGCTGAATCCAGATGTTTTTCACAATTGTCTTCTTCTGTAATGCATTTCAGTTATGCAGAAGTGTTCTACTTAAGCCAAGAACAGTTTCACATACACATCCGAAGACACCTGCATATGTGCACACACATATACACACAGCATATGAAACACAGTGAGAGGAGGGAACAGATCGACCTGGAATGACCCTCAGACTGAAAATGCACAAACAGTACAATCACATAAATACACCCATACAGAGAAGGAAGGAGGAATAAGATGGGGTGGGGGTTCTGCAGAGGGGTTGCAGTGGAATGAATGAGCTGCATCTGTACAAAGAGAAAGAAATCTAGAGACTGTAAAGCAGTCCTGGTGAATTACAGAGTTAGCACTCAGAGAGAGAGGAGGAGGCCAAAACAAACTCATAAGTCAAAAAGCCCATGTGTGAGAGGATGGAGGTGTGTGTCCTTCCCCAGTGCACTTCAGGAAGCACACACTTCTGCGAACAGCATATGTCGCTCTCACCTATTTTGTTTGTAGGATTAGAAGTTAACGTTTGTACAGCCCCTATTCATTTGACTGTTTGCTCCTAGAAACCAAATGGGAAATTTCCCCAAATCAGTGAGCCAAATCCAGGTCTGGTTTGACTGACAGGGACTTTTCTTCAGCCTCAGATCAGTTACAGATTTAAGCTTTATTCTTTCCTTATCCTCATCCTCTGCTCTCTCTTTGTCCCATAAAAGGTTCACATCTCACATTCTGCCCACTCGACAGTATTTGATAAGAATATTATTCTCATTTTCTGACTATAATTTACATTTTGTCCTTGCTCTGTTGAACAGCTACATAAGAGAGATATTGGACCAGGGGGTGTAGAGCACTTTAGCCATCATTAAAACATCACATGAGGAGGAAATATCTTTAAAAGTATGATGATTACAGACAGTATTGAAGCAATTTCAGATGTTTGTGGTGGTCCAACAGCTTAGTAAGACCTTAAATTTGTCATAATCTCTATGCATGATCTCTCTTCTCTCTGGTTATTCCCCCACCCACACACAAACTTTGTTTTAAATAAAGCAAGACCAAAAAATAGTCAAAATATGTTGAGTAAGCCTCTACATGTGGCTTCAACAAATTCATCATATCCAAGGGTTTTGTGTGATAGCCTGAACTGTTCTTGTGTCTCAGGTGTACACCTCTCATGGCCCCACAGTCATCATGCCGACATGGTTCTGCTCAAGGAACTGGTTCTTCAAGGTCGGACCGTTTGACGAGGGAGGCAAGGTGAAAGTTCACACCCAAAATATTTCTCACTCTGTGCATCCAAATGATGCACAGAGTGCATGTCCAACCATCCTTCCACACTTACAGGCTTCTTTATCTGTCCATGTTCATCTTGAACATTCAAAATGTTTGCCTGGTTTCAGGCCTCTGATTCATTGCTCACTCTTCAGATTCATTCAGTGATTCAGATAGGTCTGCTGTTGTTCCCACTGACAGTTGTTTCCCCTAGGTAGAGAAACAATCGACTGGAATGTTGTAAACCTGTTTAAGAATGGAAACACGATCTTCCTATACAGCTAGCAATACAGTATAGCTAGACTCATTTAAAATAGTGGCAGAAAAATGGAGATAAGTGCAGATGAGATTGACACAGCTGTGCAAGTTGTGGTACATTGACTTCCAAAATTAACTCTCAGAAAGCAGTACGCCAGTGATTTAGCATTTCACTCCTTTAATATTGTCGGGCTCTAGGTCAAGGTCACAGTGACCCCACTTCTGTCCTGTTCCCATGAATTTGACTGGTTGGTGGAGGGGTACAACCATGACGCTGTAATTGTAGTTTCATTTTTCAAACTTGTAGACTTCAGACCAGTCACTTAAGGACATTTATTAGTTTTCACACAACAAAGCTTTATAGAGCTTTTACTCCAGAAGAGCTGTAAGAATGTAATGAGTAAAATTGGTGAGGTTTGTCTTTAAATTAACATAATCAGCAGTTAACTGTGCTTAACAGCTGCTACCACAGCTTCAGTGTCACCTAAAAATAACACTGGCAGGATGTATACATTACTTTCTACTGACTGATCATCAGATCAGATTCAGTTAAATTATCAAGCTACTAAAATCTTCATTGAAACAACAAAATTTTGCATTTGCTTTAACTTCATTTATGTTCATATGCTTGCACCCAAACTGACCCAGCCACTGTCACAACATATTGACCATCTCCAAAGATTAACACGCACTCCATTTTCTCCTCTCCAGGGAGTCCCCGAGGATCTTCTCTTCTTCTACCAGAGTCTTCGTCTGGGAGGGGGTCTGTCCAGGGTCGATGAGTGCCTGCTGGTCTACCGATACCACGAGAAGGCCGCCACACATTCTGTGACAGAGTCAGTCTCACTGCACACTCCCTTTCCCGCTCAGCTCCCCTCACACACACATACTTGGACATGGTGTTGATCCTCCACCTACTCACAGCTGCCTGCTGCCATCCTGGATTTTCTCAGGGCTCTAGACTCTCACACACAACTATGCCCTCACACACAGACACGTTTGCGTAATCTTTGAGATGTTCAGAATATTTCAGCCGCTTTCCCAGAAAATCAATCAGGAATTTCAACCCTTTTTTGTCTCTGTGTGGAATGTTCAGTGTCCCTTGAACAGGGTCAGGAGGGAATCTGATGTTGTTGTGAACAGAAGTGTTTCACATGACGTGTGTGTGTGTCTGTAAGA